GCCCCCTCCCGCCGCCGTGACGGACGGCACGATCGGGCCAATAGGAGGCGGCCGCCGCTCCCCGAACACCAATCGCGGGTTCTGTAACCAAAAGACCAATCTGAGTGCTGCGGGAGGCAATGGGCGGGAGGCGCTGTGACTGACAGCTCTTGGAGGCAATGAGCAACTGGTTGCCGGCGCTGGGTTGGCAACTCCAGGCGATCCGAGAAGGCGGGAGGCCCAATGAAGTGGGAGTTCCAGAATCGTGGGGCGGCTTCAGAACCGATTGACCGCTCCGAAGAGTAAAGCGACAGGAAGGAGGAGCCTAGCAAATGGCTTCTTTGAACGCAAGCTAATGAGTGCACGCGGAAGGCGGTTCTTGTAAAGATTGGCAGTCCATTTAATCCAATCCCTGACGAGTTCTGGGTGATGCGCTTGGGGTTGGACTGGCTTTCCATGTTAACCAGAATCCTTTTCTAGCCTTGACTTCTAAGCCAATGGCTGAGAGACAGGGGCAAGTGTTAGGTGACTGACACCGCTCCGGACAAATGGCAATGAAGTAAAGGTGCCCAGTTTTGGTGGGAGCCAGTGGAATCGCAGCTGCATTGGGGCGGAGCCGGCCACCAGAGGGCGAGAGAGGATTAGCGGGAGTGGGAGTGAGTGGCAGTTTAGGTGTGCAATGGCGACCGGCTGCCGGAATTCAGGCCTGATGTCAGGGTTAGCGCCCCTGGAGCCTGGCTGGATAGGCCAGGCACGTGGCCTGCTTGAGGTCTAGGAAATTGGGCGCTTCCGTAGTTGAAGTGGCCTGAGAGCAGGAGGAAGCCCCGGGATCTTCCGTACCCCCTTTTCCTTTCTCCACCCAGGGCTCTAGAGCCCCTTCTGTTCCAGGACTCATGAACCAGCTCCCCTCCTGAACTAAACGGTTTGGGGCCATTGGTTCCCTCCCAGGACTGAGGGATCCCAGACCCTAATTCCACACACTACACCTGCTTCACATAAGGTCCTGGGTTCCAAGCTTCGAGATCCAATGCCAGGTCCTCAAGTTCTTACCTGGATGGAAGCATCATCTATGCTTCCCATTCAGGACCGAGGGGCCCAAGGTACCCAGCCCCCCTCTCCCCCTGGTGACCCAGGGAGTGCAGATACTCAGGTCCTCTCTCGGACCCAAGTATCCAGGTCCCCAGCTCCCTTTCTGGACCCAGGTATCCCAGACATGTCGAGCAGAAACCATCACTTTATTCCTGGTTTGACTTTATGTTCACCATTTTGCCCTGGAACCAGGACAGACCACTATGAGCCAAACTGGAGTCCATAATAGTTTCAGGCTGCATCCTGGAGAGCATCTTCTGACCCAGGCTCCCAGCCTGCTTTTCCTGAAAAAAAGTTCCCTGGGGCCTGAGCCTATAGGGCCCTTTGGGGCCAGGGGATACTGGAGCCTCCTGCTCATTTCCGCCCAGGGTGTGCGGCTTAGCTCATTGCCTATACGCCCAAGGTCTTCTTCATGGCTTCGTACACCACGTAGCTGATGCCACCTGCTGGCAGCACCTTCAGTAACGTGGGGGTCATACCTCGGTATAGCCCCGGCCAGCCCTGCTGGGCCAGGATCCGCCGAAAGACTCCACGCATGGTGGGGTTTGAACCCTCCACAGTGTCTGCGGGGACAGGGACAAGCTCAGGGCCTCAGAGATGAGCTGGCCTCCTGGGGGGCTGGAATGTTGGGGGGGGTGAAACCAGGGGCAGGGGTTTGGGGAATCAGTTGGAAAGGAGTTTGGAAGACTTTCAGAGAAAATTGGTCAGTTTGGGAGAGCAAGATCAACATTTTGGGCAGGAATTTTGAGGTTTCATTTTCAGGAACATCTTAGAAAACATTGGAGCCTATTTGGGAGGGAGCTTCTAAGATCTGTTAGAGATTTTGGAGAGGGTGCTAAGGAACAGTTTGGGGACATTTTCAAGGTGAAGGTGGTTGGCTAAGGAAGCATTTGGATGTTTAAGTATTGGTTTAGGGGCTGAGGGTCCATTTGAGGGAGACACATTTGGGGAGTTTCCAGGGTTGCAGGGGAAGTGGTTATGTTTTGGCACATCTAAGGGTCAGATTTGGTGAATTTAGGAACCATTTTAACTTTTGGAGTCAATTGAGGGCTGGATCTGATTTGGAGAAGTTAGGAGGTCATTTGGGGGGTATATGTCTTGAGGTCGGTATGTGGGCCTGGGTCACATTTGAGGAGAGTTTGTGGGAATCATTTGGAAGATGGATGTTCATTTTAGTGATTTATAGTATTAATTTTAGTGCTGGGATCAGATTTTGGGGTGAGTAAATTCTTGGTGAGCTTGGGGGTCAGTGAAGGTGGCCAGGATAAGATGTGGAGAGTTTGGAGATAGAAGAAAGTTCAGAGGTTTGGTGGAGGAGCAAGGGGGGAGGGCCATACACAGTGGCCACTAGGGCCAGACTGACCTTGAGCCTGCATCCTGGTGCGCACCAAAGTCAGTGGGTAACTGGCCATCTGACCACAGGTTGTGGACAGCGTCACTGAAGACAGATTGACCAGGCCACTAGGGTCCGCCATGTCCCTGCCTGACTTCAGCCAGAAGCACCTGAGTATCTGCAAGAGAAAGGGGGACAGAAGAAAGCTTGCTAGGGCCTGGGTTCACCCCTGCCATCTGCTATGAGAGACCCATACCTCATAGACGGCCAGGTCAGTACATGCATAAGGGATGATGCCAAGCATGTTGGGCAGGTAGCCACGGTAAAGGGCGCGGGTGCCCTCCTGCTCCAGGATCTGCCTGGCACAGTCCAGCAGCCCCTTGTATTGGCCTGTTCGGCGCAGGGTCAGTCGTGTCTTCAGCACCTGGGGAGGGGGAGGAGTGAGGCAGCTTATTTGATTTAATCCTTTCAATGACTCTCAGCAGTGGCCATTGTCCCCATCTACAAATGAGGAAATTGCTTAGGAATGTGCAAAGCTGGATCTCAAACCCAGAGCTCCCTGTCCCATCCCCTTGGCTTGTGTGTGCTCTCAACCCTGGGTTTAGAAGTTCAAGTGCTGACAGAAGCCTAGAGGGGAAGGGAAGTGATATGAGCCAAGTGGGGTATGTGGCAGCTTCCACTTAGGACCAGCCAAATGTAGCACCATGGGAGTTCAGGCTCCAGGTGGCCAGATCTGCCAACTTTCTGAAAGAGCCAGAAATAGGAATTTTTATGAAATGCCTCAATATCAAAATATTGGCAACTCTACAGTTGCACAAAAGACAGACCACCAGGTGTGGTAGG